TAGAGCGTGGCCACTGGTTCGAGGTGGATCGGCTGCTTGCAAGCTGGGTGGATCCGAACGTTGACTTGTCGCATCGTCGCGGTCTGAGGGAGCAAGGGTGTTATACTCCGCTTTGTCTCGCTTCGATGATTCCTACCATGCGCCACCCCATAGTGGAGAGCCTTCTTGCCTCAGGAGCTACGTTGGAGACGGAAGGAAGCACGGCTCTCTGCTGCGCCTGCAGCGTGGACAACGTGGAAGTGGCGACCTCGTTGATCTCTGCTAGAGCAGATGTCAAGCGCCGAGACTGGGACATGGACTCTCCTTTGCTCATTGCCGCGTCGATGGGTTCGAGATCGATGGTGCGGCTTCTGCTGCGAAATGCGGCGGACGCTTCTCAGGAGGATGCCAAAGGTCGCGGTCCCATCGAAAGGTGCTTCATAGATTCTTCGATCGGTCCGGTAATCTCTTTGCTGCGAGCCGGTGCTACAGTGCGACCTTACACGGAGAACTTTCATCTGCTTCATCAAGCCGCTGAAAGAGGCAGTCTGAACTGGGTGACGTGTTTGGTGCGGGCGCGAGCTAGCCCCCAGGCTCGTGACGAACTCGGGCATCTTCCCCTCGACGTGGCACTGCGCTTGTCCGGTTTCGAGCGTCGGGTTCAATTCAGAAGACGTCTTCGCGGGTTTGGGGCCAGAAGAAGACCTGCCGGCCGCCGCGAAGAGTAGCACCGCGCCGTCTTGCGAAAGGGCGGGCCGAGGCCGGAAGAGCGCCGCTGACACGCAGATGTAGCATGGCCGCGGAACCGCATGGACGCTGTCTTGCGAAAGTGCGGGGCTGCGGCCACCTTATGGCCGAGGCGGCGTGGGATGGCGGCCGCGGAACCGCGTGGACGCTGTCTTGCGAAAGCGCGGGGATGCGGCCACCTCATCATGGCCCAGGCGGTGAGTTGTGACAGGCTTGGCGGCGCTTCTGTCAAAATCCCGCCACTTCCGATGCCGTAACTTGCTATGCTAAACCTGACTTTCGATTGGGGGTCTGGAGGCCGTTCGAGCTTTAGATGGTGGCTTGGAGGGCTTTCGAGCAAAACCTTGCACTTGTCATTGTCGCTGCTGCTGCTGCTGCTTAGGCTGCTTCGACTCGCACGACGCGAATTACCGGTCTTGTCCTCAGCAAGACGATCGCTCTGATGAGGGTTGCATCCGATGCGCTTTCAGTTTCGCTGCATGCAGTATTTTGGATGCTTTTTTTGTGTGCCGCGTAGCTCGGGCTCGATTGCTGTGGTGGCGCTGGCCTTTGCGGTGATGCCGGGTGGACGCTGTCTTGCGAAAGCTCGGTGTGCCGCTGGGCTATGGCGACCAGGTCCTTGCCCTCGAATGCCTACTTGCTCGAAGCAGATCTGCGAGCTACCGAAGGGTGGAACAGCAGAAAGCCTTTGATCGGATGGCACACGGGCACAGCCAAGCTTGCCTTCCGGGTGCCTGGGAGCCCTGATACCATCGCCATCGAGGAAAGGATCGACCGTCTTGGTTGCGGGAGTCTCAGCGTGGCTTTCAGCTTGGAGAACTGGAGGTTGGCGGTGAAGATCGTGCCCTGTGCGGGCATGAACAAAAGTGGCTGGATGACGACAAACGATCCGCTGCGGGAGCTGAAGCAGTACGTGAAGGCGTTCCAAAATGCCGCAGTGCGTCCGTACTTGCTCCGGTATTACGGAGGCCTGTAGCTGTGGGGCGACAGGGACTTCACTCTGGCATCCTCTGAGGTCGACGAGGAGTCGACGGTCGCAGCCGCCGTCATGGTCTGCGATCGCGCGGAGTTCTCTATGGCGACGGCACTGATGCAGCTTTGGCAACAGCCCATGACGGACCAGTTGCGCGAGCAGCACCTGCGACTGTGGACATCGGCGCTAGCCATGATCGGTACATTCTTCGAGAACGGGTGGGTGCTCTGGGATGCGCAACCTGAAAACTACGGCGTGGACGAGGCAGGCTACGAGCGGATGCGGTTCTTGAGGGTCGCGACCATCCAGGAGAAAAGCTGTGATCCCAATCACGCTGAAGGCCAGCTGCTGTACAAGATCATGAAGCGCTTTTGCGGGGCAACAGTCCAGTTGCTGACAAGGGGAGGCAGTCATCCAACGTGGCAGACATGGCTGCAGCCGCTTTTCCAAACCATGTGTCGACGGTACTTCGGTCCAGAAGCTGCACCTGTTTGGGGTGATCAACTGTTTTGGTCGAGGACGGGTGCTTGCTGGACATTAAATCCTTCATAAGCCGGAAGTCTGAAGCCTAAACCATACGTGGCGTGTGGGTGTGTCACTGTGTGTTGCACTCGCACGTTGCAGGAGCATCGACGAAGCGTGCATGCGTGCACTTGCAGGGCACGTGTTCAGGCTTCTCGGCAGAAAGAGCTGGCTGCCGCGCAGATGTAGGATGCACTTTTCTACTGCACGGACGCTGCCTTGCAAAAGTGCGGGCTGAGGCCGGAATAGCGCCGCCGACACGCAGATGTAGCATGGCCGTGGAACCGCATGGACGCTGTCTTGCGAAAGTGCGAGGCTGCGGCCACCTCATCATGGCCCAGGCGGCGTGGGATGGCGGTCGCGGAACCGCGTGGACGCTGTCTTGCGAAAGCGCGGGGCTGCGGTCACCTCATCATGGCCCAGGCGGTGAGTTGTGACAGGCTTGGCGGCGCTTCTGTCAAAATCCTGCCAGAGCCGGTTCGAGCTTTAGATGGTGAGTTGGAGGGCCGCCTTCGAGCAAAACCTTGCACTTGTCATTGCTGCTAGTGCTTAGGCTGCTTCGATTCGCAGCGCGAGAACTACCGGTCTTGTCCTCAGTAAGACGATCGCTTTGATGAGGGTTGCATTCGATGCGCTTTCAATTTCGCTGCATGCGGTCCTTTGCATGCTTTTTTTTTTGTGCGTGCCGCGTAGCTCGGGCTCGATTCCTGTGGTCGCGCTGGCCTTCGCGGTGACCCCCAGTGGACGCTGTCTTGCAAAAGCTGGGTGTGCCGCTGGGCTATGGCAGGCAGGTCCTTGCCTCCGGATGCTTATTTGGTCGAAGCGGATCTGCGAGCAACCGGGTGGACCAGGAAAAACCCATTGCTCAGATGGCAGACAGGCACAGCCAAGCTTGTCTTCCGGGTGCCCGGGAGCTCTGCTACCATCGCCATCGAGGAAAGGATGGACCGTCTTGGCTGCGGGGCTTTCAAGGTGGCTTTCAGCTTGGAGAACTGGAGGTTGGCGGTGAAGATGGTGCCCAATGCGGGCATGAACAAACAAGGCTGGATGACGACAAACGATCCGCTGTGGGAGCTGAGGCAGTACTTGAGGGCGTCCCAAAATGAGGCAGTGCGTCCGTACATGCCCCGGTGCTACGGAGGCCTGCACCTGTGGGGCGACCTCAAGTACGCTTTGGTAGGGACTGAGGTCGACGCTTTGGCAGGGACTGAGGTGGACGAGGGGCCGATGGTCGCCGCCGCCGTCCTGGTCTGCGATCGCGTTGAGATCTCTATGACGACGGCACTGTTGCAGCTGTGGCAACAGCCCATGACGGAGCAGTTGCGCGAGCAGCACCTGCGACTGTGGACATCCGCGCTCGCCATGATCGGCACATTCTTCGAGAACGGGTGGGTGCTCCGGGATGCGCAACCTGAAAACTACGGCGTGGACGAGGGAGACTACGATGGGATGCGGTTCTTGGACGCCGGGGCCATGGAGAGGAGAAGCCTTAGTCCCAATCACCTTGAAGGCCAGCTGCTGTACAAGATCATGAAGATTTGTTGCAGGGCAACAGTCCAGTTGCTGACAAGTAGAGACATTCATCCAACGTGGCAGACATGGCTGCAGCCGCTTTTCCAAACCATGTGTCGACGGTACTTCGGTCCAGAAGCTGCACCTGTTTGGGGTGATCAACTGTTTTGGTCGAGGACGGGTGCTTGCTGGACATTAAATCCTTAATAAGCCGGAAGTCTGAAGCCTAAACCATACGTGGCGTGTGGGTGTGTCACTGTGTGTTGCACTCGCACGTTGCAGGAGCATCGACGAAGCGTGCATGCGTGCACTTGCAGGGCACGTGTTCAGGCTTCTCGGCAGAAAGAGCTGGCTGCCGCGCAGATGTAGGATGCACTTTTCTGCTGCACGGACGCTGTCTTGCAAAAGTGCGGGCTGAGGTAGCGCCGCTGACACGCAGATGTAGCATGGCCGCGGAACCGTGTGGACGCTGTCTTGCGAAAGCGCGGGGCTGCGGCCAACTCATCATGGCCCAGGCGGCTAGTTGTGACGGGCTTGGCGGCGCTTCTGTCAAAATCCCGCCAGAGCCGGTTCGAGCTTTAGATGGTGACTTGGAGGGCCGCTTCGAGCAAAGCCTGACACGCAGATGTAGCATGGCCGCGGAACCGTGTGGACGCTGTCTTGCGAAAGCGCGGGGCTGCGGCCAACTCATCATGGCCCAGGCGGCTAGTTGTGACGGGCTTGGCGGCGCTTCTGTCAAAATCCCGCCAGAGCCGGTTCGAGCTTTAGATGGTGACTTGGAGGGCCGCTTCGAGCAAAGCCTTGCACTTGTCATTGCTGCTGCTGCTGCTGCTGCTGCTGCTGCTTAGGCTGCTTCGACTCGCACCACGAGAATTACCGGTCTTGTCCTCAGCAAGACAATCGCTCTGATGAGAGTTGCATTCCATGCGCTTTCAATTTGACTGCATGCATTCCTTTGTATGCTTTTTCGATTTGTGCGTGCCGCGTAGCTCGGGCTCGATTCCTGTGGTCGCGCTGGCCTTCGCGGTGACCCCCAGTGGACGCTGTCTTGCAAAAGCTGGGTGTGCCGCTGGGCTGCTGCGTAGCTCGGGCTCGATTTCTGTGGTGGCGCTAGTCTTCGCGGTGCCGCCGGGTTGACGCTGTCTTGCGAAAGCTCGGTGTGCCGCTGGGCTATGGCGGCCCGCTCCTTGCCCTCGAATGCCAATTTGTTCGCTGCAGAGCTGCAAGCAGACATGGACGGGTACAGCAAGAAAAACCCAATGATCAGATGGCAGAAAGGCAGAGCCAAGCTCGAGTTCCGCGTGCCCGGCGGCGGTGCCATCTTCATCGAGGACATGCTCTACCGTTTGGGTACCGGAGCTTACAAGGTGGTCTACGGCTTGGAGACCTGGAAGTTGGCGGTGAAGATCGTGCCCAATGCGGGCATGAGCAAAAATGACTGGATGGGGAAAAACGATCCGCTGCAAGAGCTGAAAATGTACAGGGGTGCGTACGACAGGAGTGGCAAAGTACGACCGTGCATGCCCCATTACTACGGAGGCGTGCACCTGTGGGGCGACCGTGACTGGCGTATGGCAGGGAGTGAAGACGATCCCAGGGCCAGGGACTCGAAGGTCGCAGGCGCCATCATGGTCTGCGATCGCGTTGGGCTTTCTATGGAGACGGCACTGTTGCAGCTTTGGCAGCTGCCCATGACGGATCGGTTGCTTGAGGAGCACCTGAAACTGTGGACATCCGCGCTCGTCATGTTCGGCACATTCTTCGAGAACGGGTGGACCCTCTGGGATGCCAAACCTGACAACTACGGCATGGACGAGGGAAACTACGAGCGGTTGCAGTTCTTGGACGTCGCGGCCCTAGAGAACAGAAGTGAACAAACGACCCGCCAAGATGGCCAGCTGCTGTACAAGATCATGCAGCGCTTTTGCAAGGCAACAGTCGACCTGCTGGGAAAGGGAGGCACTCATGAAACGTGGCGGCAATGGCTGGTGCCGCTTTTCGAGAACATGTGTCGCCGGTACTTGGGCCAACATGCTGAAAATTTTTGGGGTCAACAACTGTATTGGGCGAGGACAGGTTCTCTCTGGACATGAAACTCATAAATGTGTCTGCGTGTGTGTGTGTGTGTGTGTGTCACTGTGTGTTGCACTCGCAGTTTGCAGGATCGACGAAAAGATAATGCGTGCATTTGCAGAGCACATGTTCAGGCTTCTCGGCAGAAAGAGCTGGCTGCTCGTGCTCGTTGCTTTGCGGTTGATCGTATGTCCTGATCGCGAGGATTTCGACGTCTCCCGCATCTTCGTTTGCCGACAGGTGTTCTGGGGATTGTGGCTGGAAACAGGAGCTAGTGCACAAGACCTCACGGCCAGGAGCCAGCCGACGGGGGAGTCCGAGCCTGCGAAGAAGTCCGGGCCTCAAGTCACGACGGTGGCGGTCGGCGTCTCCTTGTTGGATTCCGAGCTTAGGCCAAGCAAAAGAAATCTGACGGCCAGGAACGAGCCGTGCAAGGAGTCGGAGCCTGCCAAGAAGTCCGGACCTCAAGTCGAGACGATGGCGGCCAGTCCTTGGTTCCTGCCAGCAACCCAGCAGAGGACCCTGCACGGATCCTCGTGCTTGCTTTTCATGTGTGTGCAACGAAAGAAATCCGACGGCCAGGAACGAGCCGTCGAAGGAGTCGGAGCCTGCCGAGAAGTCCGGACCTCAGGTCACGACGATGGCGGCCGGTGGTTGGCTCCCGCCAGCAACTGTGCAGACGACCCTGCATGCATCCTCGTGCTTGCTTTTCACGTGTGTGCAACGGCGTTCCCGCCCGCGACCCAAGGTGCGTGAAGGCCAGGAACGAGCCGTGGAAAGAGTCGCCGCGGGAAGAGTCGGAGCCTGCCAAGAAGTCCGGACCTCAGGTCACGACGATGGCGGCCAGTGGTTGGCTCCTGCCAGCAACTGTGCAGACGACCCTTCATGCATCCTCGTGCTTGCTTTTCACGTGTGTGCAACGGGGCTCCTGCCCGCGACCCAAGGTGCGTGAAGGCCAGGAAGGAGCCGCGGAAAGAGTCGTCGCGGGAAGAGTCGGAGCCTGCCGAGAAGTCCGGATCTCAGGCCACGACGATGGCGGCCAGTGGTTGGCTCCTGCCAGCAACTGTGCAGAGGACCCTGCATGCGTCCTCGTGCTTGCTTTTCACGGGCGTGCAACGGGGCTCCTGCCCGCGACCCAAGGTGCGTGAAGGCCAGGAAGGAGACGTGGAAAGAGTCGCCGCGGGAAGAGTCGGAGCCTGCCGAGAAGTCCGGTTCTCGAGTCACGAGGCGGGCCTCGGGTCGTGGCACTGGCGCTGTCTCGTCGACGGCTAACATATCCGACGGTCAGGAATGAACCGCCTACTGAAGAGTCGGAGTGTGCCAAGATGTCCGGACCTCGGCAACTCAAAGGTGCGGTGTCTTGCTGGCCGCTGAGCTCAGGCAACGCATGGATGCATCGCGAGAATTAAGCTCATGGGGACCCACCGTGTGCGTGGGGTTGCTTGGTCGCAGTGCACTGGTGATGTTCCAGATGCTGCCCAAGGAAGAAGGCGATACTGCGATAGAGCTCTTGTGCACCGTGAAGGAGAAGGACGTCGAGGTGATTGAATCGGTTCAACACGTGCAAGCGCACGTTTTGGCGGCGACACCACGGGATGTCTCTCACATGCTTAAGGAGGGCGAGCGCAAGCACGGGCTTCTTCGGGTTGAGCTTGTCTGCAGTACCGCATGGACGCCCACCGACAAATATGCGGAGCGTCACAGAGTGCGTCGGTGCATGCATGTCAACGCTTCCCTCGCGCGGGTCTACTGGGATCAAATGAATCGGGACAGCTGGCCCAAGTCTTTGCAGGACTGGCACGAGATTGTGGTTGGCAAGACTCAAAAGCGTGCAGAGGCACCTAAGTTGACGTTGGAAACCCTGGAGAAGGCGATGAAGGACGTGACCGTCGTCGCTGACCAGAGGGGCTTTTACAACAAGCCTATCCATGATCTAGACACACATGGACGGGTCAATCGAAAGACGACTAAACTGGACGAAAACCCCCTCACGCGAGAAGAGCGCGAAGCCGAAGGGATCACTTATGGCGACCAGCAACCGAACAAGAGGATGCGAGACATTCCCAGCTACCGGCACAAGCCATTGACGGTCGCTTTGCTAAGTATGAAAGTGTTCGAAGCTGTACATTACTTTGTTCGTTTTGTTTTCCTCGCTCGTGTGTCTTCTGCATTGGTTTGATCCGCGGAAGGCATTGCTGCGGAACCTGCACCAACTTCTGCCGCTGGAGCGCTGCAACGAAACAGGGCAGCGACCGGCCGGATGCAGGGAGCGGCATGCTCCAACGAAGCCGCGAAAGCAATCCAGCAAAACCGATGGAGGCATGTTCAAGTTTGCCCAGCATGGCATGGTTCTCCAGCTGGAGGACTTCATCGAGGAGAAGTGCTTTGTACAGCCGACAGCTGCTGCAGAGGAGCAGGACTTTGGCTTTGTGCCGGCCGAGCTGCACAATGTGGCCAGGGGCCTTGTTGCTTTCCTGAGGGTCAGAGCGTGCTCTTACGATAACATCTCGCCTCACAAGAAGACGGAGCATTGGAGCCATTGCTTGGAGTGGTGGGGTTTTTGGATGTCGGACGAGGAAATCCAAGCCGTGGCTGCACAAGCGACGTCCCTTGCATTTACGCACATGCGCTATCTGAGTGCCTACGTGCGTTTGCATCGAGCAACGTTTGCGCAGGAAAGTGTTGCCGCTGCCTCGCAGATGTAGGCTGGCCGCGGAACCGCATGGACGCTGTCTTGCGAAAGTGCGGGGCTTCGGCCACCACGTGGCTTAGACAGCGGCTTGGACGAGGCAGTACTTGGATGTGGCGGCCGTGGAGGAACGCTCGCTGAGCTTCGCGTAGGATGGCCGCGGCATCGCATGGACGCTGTCTTGCGAAAGTGCGGGGCTGGGGCCATTCATTCCCGAGGCGCTGATCTTTTGCGGTGGTGCTTGCGCTTGTGCCAAAACAAAATGATTTCTTTCACTTCAAATGCCACAACGCACTTGCCGAACTTTGCTCTCATCGGGGTCCGGGTCCAGATTCAGATCGTGGTTTGCAGGGCTTGGCATGGCTGCTGTTGCTGCTTAGGCTGTCTCGACTCGCACCGCGAGGTCTATCGGTCTTGTCCTCAGCAAGAGAATCGCTCTGAAGGG